TCTTTTTTTAAGGTATCTGTAAATTTGCTTTAAGAGTGTAATGCTGTAACGTAGTTTTATTTATTACGTACTGCTAACGCAATAAAAGCTGTACGTATGGATGCTACATTTTGTAAATAATTCTTAAAATTATTTTTATTTTTGAACAATTTACACAACGCTATCGAACTTAATTATTTAAATTCAGTTTTGCATGCATTCCTATTTCAAATAGGAAGAACAGCGGTGGGGAAAAAATGCATACTAAAGTTTTGATTTTTTTTTTTAACACAAGTGTGTAAATTATTTGGTAGTATTGGAAGAAATAAAAACCGTATACTTTACTGAATTCTCTATTGAAGTCATATATCGTTTTTCGCTTCTAGTAGTTTTTAATAGATTTTTAACTTTCATTTTTATATAATTCTGCTTATAGTTTGTGACAATAAAATTCACTTACTGTTGCAAAGCTGAATTTTTCCAAAATATAAATAGCACTACCTGGGTCATATCAGCATTCTAAAACTTATATTTTTGCAAATATGTTGTTATTCTCGAGAGTGTAGGTGTAGCTAAGGCCTCTTGAACATCCAAAAGTCCGTAGGGGCCAATAAAGTCCGTAGAGGGCCTACTTTTACTGAGCCAGGCTATCTAATCAAACATATAACACATAGACTAAAACGCAAACAAATCAAGGAAGTCAAAAAATAGGGAGCGAGGTGCAACTGCACCTTCACGCACCAAAATTCGAGGTTCAGTCTTGGTGCGTGAAGGTGTAGTTGCCTTGCTAAGACGGCTTTCCGTTTACGATTTTAAAAAAATCTTGCATTCTTTAAAAAATACTGAATGATTCAGATTTTAAATTACGTCCAAAGGGGCGTTTTTTGACATTTTGTGTGTTACCTTTATTTATTAAATATCATGTTCTTCGCACTTAAACATAAAAACAATTCAACAGAAATATCGCAAATAATTTTAAATGAACACTTTATCTTAGATTTCCATGTTAAATATGGAACAAATATTTTAAAATGGATTTTTGGAGACATTTTATATTATTTCATAATTAAATGAACTGTACAGTATGAGGAATTTTATTGAATTACATATAAATATCAATTTATTAACATTTTTAATCCAATCTGAAGCAAAGTTTTTACTTGAGAAAATAGATTCAACTTTTTATTGTTTATGAGCATTAGAGAACTGATACAATAACATGACAACAAGTATTAATTTAGAAGTCAAACAACAAAAATGAGCGTTACGTTTTCAATTTTGACAGGACTAATTTCGATGTTTTACCCACCATCATCCTCACTGCAAAAGCGCAAACGATATAATATATAATGATTAGGTAAGATATTAACAAAGAGACTGCATAGAGTTAAGCAACTGGCGCCTGCTGTTTTGACACTAAGCGGAAACATAATTTCGTTAAAGGTTGGAGGCATAGATGCTTTGGAATTAGGGTCTTTTTTCTAGGACAGAAAGAATGAGTTGAATGTGAAATGCCTCCAGAAATCTAATTCACCAAAGGAAGATAATTTTTGAATAATGCTTTTGAAGCTGAGGATCATTGGTTCGTAACCATCCAAACTAGTCCTGTGAAAATTGAAATCATAAAGCTGATTTTGTGGTTTGACTTCTAAATTAATTAAATTAGAGAACTATTCCAATTCTCAAGGCAAGCTTATGGTTAGGGAGTAGTTTTCATAAACAATTACTACACATATAGTTGTGCTTTGAAAAAACGTTTCGTATGCTGGCACTGAAACAGAGGCGAGAACAAAATGAAATACACTGGTGTGCAAAATTAAGGACGAGACGGTTTTTTCAATATAACTTTGTACAAAAGCTTTCCAAATCAACACATTTAATACCGTAAGATCTCCAATACGTAAGAAACATGAGTAATGTAATCAACACTTACTAAAAAGAAATCAGAGGGATAAAAAGAAGCTTTATTTGAAAAGTAGCATGGAGCGCAATGCGACTGAAGGCCGAAAATCCCTGTGATGGGTGTCCAGTAAGAAACATCCGGTCTTTAATAGGGATATGCTCCCCCTGACTGCTAGGCAGGTTTCACAGCGTCTGCCCATGCTGAGAATGAGGGTGTCAATGAGTTGCTGAGGCATTGCTGCCCATTCGTCTTGCAGCGCCAATCGAAGCTGCGGAATCGTTACTGGTGGTAAGGTACGAGCTACCAAGCGTCTGCCTAGAAAATCCCATACATGCTCGATGGGATTGAGATCCGGAAATCGTGCCGGCCAATCCATACGTTCAATATCCTCACTCTCTAAGAGCTGTTCGGCAGCTACTGTGCGATGACATGGTGCATTGTCGTCCATGAAAAGGAACTGCGGACCCATAGCGCCTCTAAAAAGACGCACATATGGAAAAGAATCTCGTTACAACGGGTCCCGTTGTGAACCTGCGTCGAAGACGTGAAGGTCTGTACGACTACAGCATGATGCCTCCCCAAACGAGAACACCGCCACCTCCATACCTGTCCCTTTCAATGGTTCGAGGGAGGATTGCGGCTTCCCCTCTCTCCAGAGTAGCGATGAGAATCGCTACTCAGACTGAATCGCTCTCATCTGTAAGAGTACTCGTCCCCCCCATTCATTGTCTCTCCAATTCCCGCACCACAGAGAACGCCTTCTCCGATGGGCAGGCGTTAGAGTACACAACCGTACAGGGGTCGTGCAAACAGACCACCACCGTGCAGTCTTCTGGCCCCGGTAAACGCGATATCGGTCGTCCAGCGCCTGTGTCGTGTGTCTAGCGATTTTTCCGCTGTCTGCCGCCTGTTTCTTCTGCCTGTAAGGCATTAAACCGGTCATCTGCGGGTGTGGTTCCTCGTGGACGACCACTACTAACCCCCCGTACTGTTCCTGTAGTTTGAAAATTGTCTTCAAATCGTGAAAAGATGCTGTGAGCAATTCCGAACTCTGCAGCCACACTTGTCACACTGCGGCCTTCCTCCACTTCCCAATGTTCGACCTCGGGTAAGACATCCAGATGTCGTCTAACTGACTATTTCGCCATTTTCGCTGAGGCAGCAACTCGGTGTGATTTAACTGCTATACGGCGTGCAATCTCTTTGCAAAAGATCTGATCTTACACACCACAAACTGTCTACTACTCAGACATTCCCCCATTGCTCTACCTGCATATCTGCGCATGTGCTACCGTACATCACCCTTACTTAATCTCCTGAGTCTTCTTTCTGTCTGCTCTGCCTCTTCCTTCAGCTGATATGCTAATTTTTCGACTTTGTCCTTAAATTTTGCACACCAGTGTATTCCTTACAGAAACGAAACACAGGGCAGTCGTTGCATGCATAAGGTTACGTTTATGATAATCACTTCTTTTATAGGATTAAATTCGTTTATCTTTTCTTCCTTTAAAGATTTTGTTTTTAAAGAAACACATAGTTTCCCATGTACCTCATAAAACACATGGGGCTTACAGAAGTAGTATGAAACCATACAAATAAACAGAAGACTGAAATAAAATAGGATGATTACCAAGTTTTACAATGAATTGACAAAAAGAGTTAAACCACACCTCTCTCGGAAATAAATTGGTAAAATTCCTATAAATATTTAAGGTAAAAAACATCAGGTGAATGCAGTGACTTACAAGTCTAGTTCTGCTGGTAGCGTAAAGTAACGAGCGTTCAAAAGACGGTACGACGAATTATCCCGAGGTCTTGACAAACAGACAAGGGCAGAAGTTTGTAAGGACAGGACCATTGTTTCAATCACATTTAGTTGAACAAGCGGCCCCACTTGGTCTTTTTTAAAGCCAACAGATTTGGTGCTGAACTCAAAAAGGCAAAGTTGAAATTCAATAAAATGTAATTTACAAGTCCTACGGCTCACATGAAAATTAACGCGAAGGATGGCTCTAACTGGTACAAGCCGGCGGAAACAAGCTTAATGGCTAGAAGCACTTAACGCTACAAATCGAATCGTTAGTAACAACGTGACCCTCAAGCAGGAATAGCTCTCTAAAATTATCTTTCCGAAATCTCTGCTAAAATACACTCTCTTTCTTTCATAATTTAAATACACGCTCGCTATCTGACAAGCATTCTGGAAGGAAATGTGGGGTAAAAACTAGAATGAAAGGAAAGTTTATTTAACTAAAACTTAATGTTTGTTAAAACAAATAAATTCTTACAAATAAGTTATTTTGTTCTGAGACTGCAATAAATGACTTTAGAAAGACGCTATCAAAAAATGAATTAAGACTGATAACATTTGCATTTATGCAATTAATACCTTGTATATTATATAAGTGGTTAGCAATTCAATCCGGGGATTATTTTTTCTTTTTGAGAAAAACAACATAACAATCTTATTTATATGACAATAAGATTACAGATAATTAAATAATCGTGTGCTTAAGTGCTCGGTTTGTAAAGCAGTTATAATTTGAAATTAAATTAAAGACCTTATGTCACGTAAATGGTAACATTTTGGAAATTTGAAAATACAAACCAAGTGGAGGTAAAAGTTAAAGATATTACCAAAGGATAACAAAGGACATATTTTTTTCTGATTTTTTTAAATCCAGCGGGACTTCCGAAGTTTCAACTTTTATAAAACTAGTTTTAATAACTTAATAACAAAAATTAACTTTTTAATACATATTATTAGCAACCACATGCATTAAATTTTCAAACATTTTAGCAATTATTTTTGAGTTATAAGAAATTGAGTATAATAATAATAACTGCATTTAAAGATTCTAATACATTGGCTCTTTGAATGTGGATGGAACTCAGAAAAACCTTTTACCACATATAATAATCACGACATTGGTGATAATATTTACTTATGAGCAAAGAGTATTTTTGCTAAAACTTTAAAATCAATTTTTAGAAGAATTCTGTCAAAATATAGGAATCTGTAGCTTTAAATTATTTTTAAGACACGGAAAAGAAGTGTTTTCATTCAATATTAACACATACACATAAAAAAAGAAAAGGAAAAGGAGATCTTACTTACGTTTCATTTTCCTTAGATAGCTTATTGTGAAGTGAACATCGTCGCCTACTACCGTCATATGATATTTGTAACATCTCTCTGAGTTTACATTTTCAAACGTGTAGGGATATACGAACACATGCCATCTACCGGCAAGCTGTTGAAAAACGAAAATTATCAGATTTAAATAAAAGGTTTTAGCAGTCTGCAGAACACTATTAAGCACAGATGAAAGGCGGGCGATGTAATTTTCCATAAAAACGCTTTTCACAATTTGACATTCTGCTTATATGCGCAAAAATGCATTAACAGATTGAGGCGTTCAGCAGGCATATCATACTTCATGTGATAAATATCCTACGTAAACAGTACTTGGTGATCAAATAATCTCCTTCAATGTGCACTCACTTTGAATAAGGTTTTGTTAACGACAGGAGTCTTTAGCGAAAGAATACAGGAAATAATGTACGAAAATCTGTCAACTGCAAGCTGGATCTCTCGATCGTCAACGAATTTTTCTGTGGTTAAAATGTGCTTGAGATGCCAGGAGAAGTTGTAAGCAGCGAAAGATTAGTTATCGAAATATGGCAATTGAAGAACAGTTTCATACCGCAGTTCTTTGAGAGTTTGTACTGATAATCGTACGTAATATGAGCTGATATTGCGATGTTTCTTCAAAGCACCATGTCTGTTGACCACTGCTGATGCCAGAGAATGACTGAAGAATGCCAGAGATTCTCTGGTATCAACAAAGCGATTCTCGGCATCAACAGAGACCATTGTTGATGCCAGAAAATGACAGTCTGTTAACTAAACTGTAGATTCCAGAGAATTATCTGAAGAAGGCTAAATGTAACCCTGGTCACAGGAATTTATATAGAACGTGTGTAAAATTGCATGTCTGAAATCAATATTAATGGCTGAAGTAATGTCGCAAAGGAATGATTGTAAATAAGCTGTGATAAATGTATGACGTATGTATTAGAAGAAAAAAAATTGCAAACCAAACTATGTATTGAAAACCTCTGTTTGCACACTGGCCTTGTTTGCCATGTATCTCTTTGTTTTAAGACTCAGCAATTGCCGTCTGACCAGCAACCCACCCCGGTTGTGGTGGTTTGGTTGGTTTGGTTTGGTTTATTAGTTTACGGCAAAGCACTCGAGGGCTATCTGCCTTGAGGAAGGGATGCCTTCGTGGAGGACTTTCTAAACCGGTTGTGGTGGAGTGGGTAGTAGAGAGCTTCCGGAGACAGAGGCTTTAATCCGTGTAAGGCAGTCTGCTAGACTGTAAGGCAACGGAGCCCTTGTTCTCCAGAATATAATAATAATAATAATAATAATAATAATGCTGTGTTTAGCAGAATAGCCAATCTCTATGATACTTTCGCCTGAAGGAAGATACCAAAAATCATTCCAGCACCAAAGTGCTATATTAAAGCATCAACATCTTCTGGAAAGTATGGGAGATTGTTTCGCATTGTTATTCTGGTCTTTGTTTGCTATCTACTTATTTGTTCCATTTGAAAGAGATATATTTTGACAGACTCGAATGAAATTGAAAAGACGTATTTATAGTTATATTACGATATATCGGCTTAAAAATTGTTTCGAGACTAACAGCTATTTTAGTGCAAATAAATAAAAAATTTTGAAATTTAAATTCTGGCTCCTAGATGCGCAGTTCAAGTAAAGAACTACATGTGTTCAAAATCTGGTGGCTTTAGTTGCAGCCATTGTTTTCACAATGTGAGAAACATACAAGACATAGAAGAAGACAGTAAAACTTTTAACAGCTTTCGATATCTGTCATGGCTGATGGTTAAGGCTTACAGATGAAGATAACAAAACTGGATGTCGACAAATCACCAATTTTTAATTTCACACACATCAAATTAATTTGGCAGACACTGATTTAATCATTATTAAATTGCTGTGTGGTTTGGTTTTTTACGAAATACTAGTAGGCATTTGGGAAGAAAAGCACCAATGTTGACGTGATTGAAGGGGAAGGAATTGCCAGCGGATCTATACTAAGTAGTGCAGAGAGTACTCTAAGCTTGATGTTAAATTTCGGTTATTCTTAATCATCGAAAGATCTCGAATTTGGAGAACAAATAAATTTAGGGCTACAGCATCAAATCTAGAATCGTTAATTTTAAGGTTGCCAATTATTTTTAAAGCACCTATCATATTTTCTTACATTTTACATACATATATACTGATTCTTCATTATTAACAGTGGAGAAGGGCAAATGATATTTTTTTCGAAATTTCTAAGAGAAATTCCAAGTAATATAATTACATCAGCAATATTAAAATGAAAATATAGCTGCGCTCCTGAATATTTTTATGAATTCAGCATCAGATATCGAGTGTTTTAAAATTCAATTTTCAAAATTATATATCTGAGTTATTAAAAAACATGTTTAAAAAACTAACTTTTTCTCTATACCTTCGGTAGTTCGAAGTCGTCTTTTGTAGGATGCTGGTCTTTGAACCTTCAACTTCCTTAGCGTCTATAACAAGAAATAGCCCAACAAAGAAAAACTACAAACTTAGTCATCGAAGCCATTATATGAATGCAGTGATTGCCACTTTAACAAAGTGATACCGGGAATAAAATGGATAAAAACGTTGGTCTAAGAATCGTTTAAATATAATGGTTTAGTCACAAAACAGCTGCCTAAGTCGCACATTATCTCTCCTTTCGAAATGTTATCGAAACGAATCTGAAACTAACACAAATTAAATTGTACGATAATTTGTAGAAATATGCTTAAATAATTTCTCCTTCGTTTTTAGCAGGCCTATACATCTGCCTAATATATCTAAAACAATGCCATATTAACAAATTATATCATATTTATCATAATGTTATGATCCTGTTTTTAAATATTTAAAATTCTTACTACAAATACCAAAAGTCCTAAAAGTATTTAACATGTGTTCTTTCTCGTAAGGCATATACAACAGTTTCATTTGCTGAACTGCATAAATTGCAGACATTTAGCAATCTTGCAAAAAAATTACTAAGTTTTGGCGAAGAGCAAATTCAGCAAATTTTTGAGTGAGTCATAAAGATAGTTTTTCGTGGTCCCTGACCAGAGTTGAAAAGATACAAGAAACGTGCAATGAAGTGGGCAAAATAATTATAATGTATAATAGTATTTCGCTATATTATTTACATTTTGCTATATTATTTTATATTAGAAAAGCCCGAATGCAGACGTGTGAACTGATCAATGTTAACATTTACACAGTATTACGTTTTGCCAAACATTTTTTTCTCATATTTCTCTATATTATTTACATTTCGCTATATTATTTACAAACTTATGAAAATTTGATGATAAGTATTTCTGGATATCTGCATCTGTAAAAACTGTTACTGCTTTAAGTCGTAAAAGAGGTTCCAAATTTTTGGTTAATTTTTTGCTCTTTTGACATGTTTATTCACAAAGTTAATAGGAACTATTAACACAAAAAATACTGACTCGGTATTTGAAGAGACTGAAAAATGTAAAATGCTAATTTAATTACTTTTTGTTTTGAAGCTGCGGATGGCAACGGTTTATAAATCAAGGATTTGTAAAAGGAATCCTAAAGTTTTAAAACTTTCATTTTTCTATAACAGATAACATGTTATAGTTATGTACTTAAAACTGTTAATTTTAAGATTCTAGTAACGCATTTAGTAGGATGTTATAAGCCTTATTATTATGATTTGCATTCCTCGGGGTTCTTCATATTATTTTCGGCCTATTTCAGTTATTATTTACTGTTAATTTAATAGTAATTTACAGCGTTAGCAGCGACATCAGCATCTTGGTTAATATGATACAGAAACGAGAAGAGAAAAAGTAGTGGAAAAAAAAAAAAAGAAGGACAAAGCGAAAATATTTTTTTTTAATGGCTAGGCAAAAAAGTTACAAAGAATTAAAATCTTATAAATAGAGGTTACAAACAATAGACCTAAGAAGAAAAAAAAGACCGAAGCGTTTTTACCTCCCAGTATCTCGGCTCTTCTGCAAGGCCAGGAAGAGCCCCACATCGACATCAAAGCAGGTGGTCGTTGTCCATTTCTTCTCCAGAACTGCAAAGTTGGGAATTTTGATCGCTTGGAATGTCAGCACGGGTCAAGAGAAGTAGTAGTATAAAGAACAGCAGAAGTAGTAATAAAAATGTAGTGACCAGAATGGGCACTCGGATGATCACTGTTTACATTTACAAATAAAGTTTCCTAAAAAAAGAGCAATAAAAAGCAACCTGAGAGAAATAATTCAACAGTAAAATCATTTTAGTACTCCACGTGGGCTTGATAACTTAACATCAATATTAAAACTGCGAAAGAATTATTCGAGACTCATCATTGGGGATTTAAAAGAAGAGTTGAACGTTGGACAGGGCACAAGTACGTTGATTGGTTATTTGAATTTAAAGCATTATTCTATTCGTTAGAGAATATGAGTTTACAGCTCTATTAGAGCATAATATACAGCAATATACAGCGCTATTATAGCATACATTGTGTCAAAGCTTATTCTCGGTACTTCTAATTTTTTTTTAGATGAATCGTAATTCTAACAGGAGCTTACTGGAGTCAAAATTAAAGTAATCCGGCATATTTACTGACATTTTTAGGGAAAACCTTTTTTTAACACCGAAAATTTAATTTAATAAGCCGTAAAATTCGGTTCTATCTTCTAAATGCATGTCTGTATGAAAAGGGAAACAAAATCTCTGGTGGAGGTTGAGATTTGTAAAAAAAAGAAAAGCCCCCACCCAAGTGTGAAAGCCTTATTTTCCAGTAAGTGCACTGAATTTATGAAAGCGGGTAAATTTTCCGTTTCCGAAAGGGCTAGGAGTGGTCATTTTATTTATGCACGTTGAAACGCTAGAGACTATTTTTGCGCCTGTAGACGTTTTCGAACGATGTGACCAAATACGTGAGAACCGAATTCGATGGAAGTTTTTTCTTCTGTCGCATTCTGCTTGTTAGATCGAATTATGCTGGCTGGTAATCTTCGTCAAAAATGTTGAACTCTTCTCTTTTTGTTTCCATGCCTACATATTTTCTGTTCAAATTCTCTTCCATATTCTCATACTGTTTTTAGCATTCTCTGTATTCCTTCCAGTGACTCTTTAACGGTTTTACTGTATTTCGTGAGGTATGCTGTAAAAATAATAGGTCTTCATCTCTTGAAACAGTATATTATATTCAGGGCTTCATCCAGAACTCGTTGATCTGTTTTTTCGTACGGATTTCGGTAGGGCTTCCGCAATTCTAGTTTTAGAAATTAAGCCTTGAGCGCTATATATCACAAAACAAGGGTATATGCCAAAAGATGAAATCAATGATTGACAGTAAGCAATTATTCGAGAAATGTTGCTCTTTATAAATACAGTAAGACCCCGCTTAACGCTGTTTCGTTTAGCGCTGTTTCGGTTTAGCGCTCTTTTATTTCAATCCGGGGATTCTCCGAAATTGTGCGTAGCGCTAGGTTTCCAAATAACATATCCGAAACAGTGTAGTTGTGTTTCTTGCTTGGTGGACGCATTTTTATCATTTGAAACATTTGTTGACATTATTGTAAGTTTAAAATTGTATAATACTATAACGATTAATACAGTGACAAATGTTATGATCTTTAGTTTTTATCATGGGTGATAATAAAAAACAAGAAAAGAAAGCAACCAGAAAAAGCATTTCACTGGAAACTCAAATGCAAGTGATTAGGAGATTAGATTCTGGTGAACGTCAATCTCAAATTAGTGCTGCATTGATTTTGGCAACTTCAACGATAAGGACAATTCTTAAGAATAAAGAAAAAATACTGTCATCGGCAACTGCAACTACGTCAAGCTCTGCAACTAGAATTACCCGTTCCAGAAATAACATTATAGAGGAAATGGAAAAACGACTGTCTATATGGATTGACGACGAAATTGAACGCAATATGCCATTAAGCCAATCTATCATAATGCCTTCTTGACAAAAAGGCAGAAAATTGGAAACCCAGAATAGACTGAATGATCTGACTGAGAATTTTATTTGTTTTTAAAAGTATATGCGTTTATATTGTTTTTATTTTTGTAAGAAATAAATGTTTGATTTGATTTTTATTAAAAAAAGCATTATTAAATTTAAGGCCTAATCATTTTTTATCCGTCTTCCCCTAACCCCATTATTTACATGTTAAGATAGCCTCGCTTAGCGCTGTTTCGCATTACGCTCTACTTCGATGGAACGTATCCCCCGCGTTAAGCGGGGTCTTACTGTACCAAAATTCATCATACATCAATATCATATACAAGTTTATTAACCCTCTCGTAGCGTATCCCGCAATTTCCACGGGCAACTTAAAAGTAGCAAAATTTGCGCAACCCGCTATTTCCGCGGGGATGAAATTTTGCCGTCTGTTTAAATGTGCAACCTGCTCGTTCCCCGTTCAAGGCACCCTTTCAGCTTTTCTGTGATGTTTAATTGTTTATTTAGGTGTGTGCTAACAGATGGCGTTAGTTGTCCACATTTGTGCCAAATATACAAGAATACGTAATGTAGCATTTTGCGCGCGCTTTGCAGAGCTCAAAGATGTCTGGCAGGAAGCGTTTCGCGAGAGATATAACCTATATTCCTGACGATATTTCCGACACTGATAGTAGTTCTGACTCTAACTTCAAGTATACTGAAGATAGTTATAGCGAAATCGATGAGAATTTCTCGGATTCCTCTGCAGATAGTGATGAATCTGAAAATTCAGTTTCTATTGAAAGCGTTCGAAAGTGGTGCAAAATTGATAAGCAAAATATTAACATTATGCAAATATTTTCATTAGTATATATGTTTTACCACTGTATTTTATAAAATAAATCATAATTTAACCAATATTAATTTTCAAAGCTTTCCTTTTATATTTTTATTCTTCAATTTCAATATTCTGACAACCTTTTTCTATGATCTAATTCCATATTAAAAAAAAAAAAAAAAAAAAAAAAAAAAAAAAAAAAAAAAAAACTCTTCTACAAAAATTTTTTGTATATTTTAACTGTAAAATATATGAAGATCTGAAATATGTAATAAAAAAAATACGCAATTTTTGAACCTATTTTGATAAAAAAACTTTTCGCAGTGAGAGGGTTAAAACGACAAGCAGGCCAGTCACATTTCTTCCGAGAATTTTCGGAAAATCAGTACAGTAATACATATTAAGAAATTTAATTTATCATTCAATTTGCATTTTACACATGATATCTAATCATTTTGGAATTCTCGGACTAACAGTGCAACTTAAAATAAATTAGGGTACTTTTTTTGCATTTAAGTTTTTATTTAAATTCAGATATTTTATATTATACGAAGTACTCGAGCCTCTTATTTTAAAATATAAACATTAACCCGTAACAGGGGACGTGCGATCTGACGGACCGCGCCACATGTTCCTCCCATCAGCCCTATTGCATGCTTTGTCCAAGTGAATGGATTCTTGCCCTAGCTTCA